GAACCCATCCAAGGTCACAAAGTTTGCTATGGGCAAATGTGACCCAGGTATTCTGACTTCCAGGTGAGCATTTCTACTTCTGTATCAATTCTCATTGATTTAAAAAAAATCGTTTTTTTCTAGTGCACCACATGTGAATTACTTCTGGCTGGCATCAACCTAATTAAGATCATTGTTCCAAAGTTGATCCTTAAAAGGATGCAGGAAAAATAAGCCCTATGTGATAAAAGCTTATGCATTCGTGAGGTGTCAATTCACAATAACATCTCTAAACTCAGAACAAAGTATGGAAATGAGCGAAAATAATCTAATTTACACGTTACTGTGAACACCAAATCAAATTTACCAACTTGAAAAAAAGCCGTACTCATCCTAAACCTCCCCCAGTCTGAACTTAGATGCCAAAGAAAAACTTCAGTACTTTGGCATTGTAATAAATTGCTCGTTATCACCCTAAGAATCAGTTATTAATCTAGAAGAAACAAACTCGTGCTGAATCTTCAAATGACATTAACTACACAGGAATGTTGATTCCTGTGGGTTCTCAAATTTAAATTGTCTCAGGCACCAAGTTACATACTAGAAGATAAACGTGGCAATCATTTTTAATATTTAAGGAGAGTATTTAGAATTCACAGCCTTAAAAAATCAAATTTGAAATTAATATCAATATATTGCTCACACTCAGGACACACACTATACATTTTCAGCTAGATCTAAAAATATGGCCCCCAAATAAACCTTTGCTCTTAAATCAAGTATTAAACAAATGCTGAGGCCACTTAATCTAGGTACTATCTTTCTATCTCCTCTGTTACTACCATGATCTGAGTTAACACCAACACGGGTAAGTTCAGAACAGATAAAGGTTTAAGACTCATGTTTGGGATTTTGCACTCAAATTTGCACAGTGGACCACCTCAAAAAGATTACTTTATTGATCAAAAATTATCTACAGCAACTGTAGAGATTATCCCAAACACAAAGTACAGTGATGAACAGAGAAAAGATTAAGAAGTATGTCTTAAGTTCAGTGGCTTTAATGAAAATAAAAAGAACCTTTTAGCCAACACAAGTCATATACAATGATAAAAGAGATGCTGAGGGAAGATTAAAAGAGAGAGAACTCAGGTCCCTAATGTTGTATATAGTTTCTTTCAGGTTAATTCAAGCTATAAAGGATGTACTGTTGAAATTAATCTAGTTTGCACGACTAATCTCATCCTGGTAAGAGCTCTAAGTTTATCACAGTGCTCTCTGCAATCTGACATTTTTCTCCACTTGTTAGCCTATTGTCCATTCCATCTTTCAGGAATTCAACACTACATGGAATCCAACACTACATAGCACTCCTTCATTATTTTCATAACAAGACAAGGAAACATATCTCCAAGCTCCAGTCACTCACCAGACCACTCTCTCTATACAGACATAAAAACCCCAATAACTGGAACAATGGGAATCTCTACTTTTGGTCCAGTGAATTTCCAAAAGCAGTAATTCTCATTTAGGTGAGAGGATCAAAATTTGTTGGAAAATACCTTAAAACTACCGATGAATGACAAAGTACCTGTAGATTACATTCCCCCAACTTTGTACTCTTTTCTTTCCTCACTCCTCTCTTAAAGCATCACTGTTTCAGGAACCTCAACTGTTGATGAGTGTATTTGGGTTATGGCAGAACAAAGACTTAAAACAATGCTAAGAGAGTAACATAACCAGGTGTCCCTAGCCTCCAGATAGCTAAAAACCCCACATGGAACAATTTACAGTTCCCTGGGTCAAATGAGAAAGCAATGTTGTTGGGGTGAATTTAATCTAGGATGACAGCAAAAAAGAATTCCATATCAACTATCAGAAAGACACATCTTCAAAGATATAAGCATCCAAACTATAAAATACCACTATAGCTTTTTCCCCATTCATAATTCACCCCATGCTGCTTTCATACCCCACCACCACAATTTTAAGGAACTGTTTAAGACAAAAAAACCCTGAAGCTCCTAGGGAAATTGTAGACTTTAAGAGGCAATAAGAAGCTTCAAAAATGTAGGGAAAATGCTCGGCTTCCTCTTACCCTCCATGAAAATATATACCCTTACTCTGCCTGAAATTTCTGTTTCTTGAAAATCTACCTATTAATTTGGATTAATAAAAATGTTTTCCTGCTTACATAATAGGTGCTAATAAATAGTAATTTTTAGCATTTAAAATCTGAATGTCAAATATTTATACAGTTCAAAAAGTAAAAATCAAGAAGAGATCCATTATGAAGATTCCCAATCCTACTTTGCTTCCTATCTATCCAGTTCCTACTACATTTATTAGTTTCTTATCTTTCCAGACTTTCCTTGTGCAAATTAATGAAAACTATAGTTATTTCCCAGGACATCTTAATGAGCGGAGCTGGGGGCCAAGCTGAGAGAGACTGGTGGGTGCAATGGCAGAGAACCTGCTCTGTCTCTCAGTGGCTTTCTCAAAATGGCCATAGTTCTCAGACAGCAAAAATTTGTACATCTATTAAACACAAATCAGACTCCTGAACCCTGGCTCCATTCTGGCTAGGGCTCTGGTGTCCCTACCTGGCCTGTGTGAGGGGGAACGCTCTGCCACTCTGTTAGAAAAGAAAGCCCCATCCACCATTTCTTAAGAGCTGGCCAAGTGTAACAAGCTGTACTTTAACTAAGTAGAGCCACACCTAATGAAATGTCAAAGTCCAGAGAACGTGCCTCCAGGCTTTGCTTTAATCTGGGGGTGATGGGGAGGTATGTGTACATGTGAACAGACTGCCATCTTCAAAGCGGTTTCACGTTTACAGAAAATTTAAGCAGATGGTACAGGGAGCTCCCATATAGCCACTCTTTCCCCTACTCAGTTTCCCCTCATTAACATCATGCACTAACATTGCAACTGAGGAACCAATAGTGACATACTATTATTAACTGAAGTCCACAGTTTACATCAGGGCCCACTCTTCCTGTTGTACATTCTACTGGCTTCGACAGCTATATAATGACATAGGGCTTCCCTGGTGGCTCAGACAGTAAAGAATCTGCTTGCAATGTAGGAGACCCAGGTTCGATCCCGGGGTTGGGAAGATTCCCTGGAGAAGAGAATGGCTACCCACTCCAGTATTCTTGCCTGGAGAATTCCATGAACAGAGCAGCCTGGTGGACTACAGTCCTTGGAGTTGCAAATGAGTCAGACATGACTGAGCAACTAACACTATATATGTACTATAATGACATAACCACTATTATAGTACGAACAGTTTCACTGCCCTAAAAACCTCATGCTCCCTTTCTCCATCCCTCCAAATCTTTTCACTTACTGTCTTTAGAGTTTTGCCTTTTTCAAAATGTCATATAATTGAAATCATTTAGTATATAGTTTTTCTTCAAACTGGCTTCTTTCATTAAGCAATATGAACTTAAGGTTTAGCCATGTCTTTTTGTAGCTTGATAGCTCACTTCTTTCTATTACTGAATAATATTCCATTGTATGGTTTGCTGAAATCTGCTTATCCATTCACCATTCACTTTTTTTTTTAACATGATGGATTTATTTGGATGTATTCTGCCTTTTTTTTTTTCCTTTTTTTTTGGTTATGCTGCACACCATGTGGAAACCTTAATTCCCCTACCAGGGATTGAACCCATGTCCCCTTGCATGCACTGGAAGCATGGAGTCTTAACCACTGGACTACCAGAGAAGTCCCCTTCATTTTTTAAGAAATGAAACTGAGGAACCATAAAGTAAGGTGAGCAATTCAAGGTCACAGAACTAATCAGTAGCTCAGCTGGAGTTAACCCTCTCTCTCACTCTTCCACAAACAAAACTCAGCTCCCACACTTCTATGCTGCTGTTCTTTCCACTATAACAAGTTTTTTCTTTTTTTTAAGGCAAGAGAAGATCTTATTTATTAGCTTTTTCCAGTCAGCAGTCTCCAAATTGCCTTTGTTTCTTTTTGGCAGGTTGTTTAAGTGGTTTGAAATTGATGCCCTACTGGAATAAAGCTAAACAGCTAAGCAACCAGGGCAGGAATGCCCAGAGAGAGCAGCCAGCTGCCCTATGCCTGAAAGGGAACAGGGGCTTTACCTGCAGGCCCGGGATGTTCAGGAGAGGAACTGGGAAGCCATAAGAACACCCTCAACCCCCCTGGAGGGACAGCTCGGCTGCCTGAAAGCTGTGATGTCCTCTGCTCTCGGCTTCCTATGGCTGAGGACTTTCAGAGGGTACTCAAGATGCCACTCTCTTGCATATTCCGCAAACTAACAGCAATTTTAAAACAGAATATAAAGTGTCTTGATTGGGTTCTTACAAATGATATTTTTAGCATAATACTGGCCAAAGAAAAAAGAACTAATTTACAATGTGTAAATGTCAAAAACTCTTCAGAGAAAGTAAGCAAAAACAGGGAAAGGAAAAGGGGAGATATGTGTAAATTCAAGAAAGGAAGTTTCAAAAGTTTACAAAAAGAGTAAGAGAAAAAGTATGTTCTGATAGCTATAGTCTCTGGAAATAACTAGGTATGAAACCCAAAAGAAGGACAAAAACCTGCCTTTGAGTGCTCTTCTCTTTCTTCTGTCTACTCAGGTCCTTCCAGGTCCTGCTCACCCCCCGCCCCCAGAGCTTCCTTCTCGTATCCCGACTCCTCTTTCAAACTCTCTGTACTTGACATTTATTTGTGGACTTCTCTGCCTCCCAATTCAATTCCAGGGCCTGAGACTGCAGGGCCCTTGTCACACATATCTTGGTTTCCCCACAATACCTCTAAACAGTGCCTCCTGCAAAGCAGATAATAAATAAATATGTATTAGTTAAGTCGAAGAAGCCAACTAGAAAGTAGTGTTTTTAAGGGGAGAGGAAATTAGAGTAGTATAAAGGATACAAAATCTGAGCACGGTAAGTTGTATTAATAACCAAATCAATCTAAATCAATTGTGTAACAAGTAGTATCAAAGGCACAGTCACCTGAAATTGCAAAAATAGCACAGTACCTGCAGGAGACTTTCTATGGCATGAAAGCCTCGAATTAAATTCAGAGCAGCACATAAAAGACTAAGGATAAATGCCACAATCCCTGAAAGAGTTGCTGGTTCCAGTCTCTGGTGAGCTGAAAAATAAAAGAAATGATCAGAAATGAACATCAATACCTCACATCAATACCTATACTTACATAAAATGAAATTCACTGCTCAATTTAAATGGATCAAATATTGGTGAATCTTCATAAAATTATTTAATAAGATACCTTACAAATTAAATATTTTTTAAAATGCAAAATGTCTGATATAACAGCTTCATTCCCTTGAACTCAAGTTAACTTTTTTCCTACATTTTTAACAAAGATACCTAATTTGCATTTGGGGTACACAGTGCTAAGGAGTTGTCACATTTGCCAGTAAACCATATAGGAAAAAAATCTTATTGCCTAAATATGTCTACCATTTACAAGTAGCTGCAAATATGTATATTTTTTTAGCTGCAAATATTTGCTAAGGTGATTTTGCTCAAAAATTCACTGCATAATTCCTATTTTTTCTGAAAATGTTTAGAAAACATTTTAAAGGACAAACATAGCTTGCTTTTAAGCAAAGCTCTTCCTTATTTGGGTTCCAGGGCTATAAATACCACAGGATATATGTGAAAGCTCATCTATAACCACTGATCTGAACTCTACAATAGAATGGACTCTTACAGTTATGAGGTTCCTGGTCTCTGAAGACCACTTGAAGGTAAAACAACAGGTGATGAAGTGACCAGTTTATTTTACAAACACATGCCCTATCCATTGGGGCTTCACAGTGTTAACACATTTAGATATACAATAGCTTCCCTTCATCATCCTGCAGTTAAAATTAACTATAGAGTCTAAATGAAAGCACAAAATTAAATACATAATCATCTAGACCTCAAAAGGGAGAGAGAGGGAAAAAGAGGACAACAGAACTATATTTAGATCATTTTATTTTAAATCATTGAAGTGTAAAAGCCCTAACAATGAAGTTAATGAGGTAGAACATTAATATAAAGGCTTAAATCTCTGCAACTTATATTCAGCCATTACAGCAGAAAAGTGTCCCTAAATAATTCATAAAAACACAAAAACCCACATGTCACGAAAAAAAGTTATTCCTCAAATTCAGTAGGAATCCAAATATAGGATATATTTTCTTAAATTTCTTCTGTGCCAAAGCTAACTGCTTGTTCTCCCAGTTAATTTCCTTGAGATTAATATGAAAGCAAAAACTAAATGTCTTTGTAAAGTATTAGTACCAAATTTTCTATCACTACAGAAAAAAATCGCACAACTTAAGAATCTATCCAATGGTCTACCAGTTAGTCCTGTTCTGCATCCCTCCCTCCATCCTTCCCCACTCCCTCTGGGTAGTAAGGGGGAACTGACCTCCAAGTAAAAAAGAAATCCTTAGCAAGGACCTCAAGCACAAAGCCACCTGATAACTAAACAGAGTACAGAAATAACACTTCTAAAGTATACAAGTTTATCTTACCAAAAAACCAAATAGTAATCTATACTATAATTAAGAACCAAGGCTTTTGTGGTCAAGTAAGGAATGGCCACTCTTGAACGAAAAAATATTACCATTTTAATGTGTTGATCAATACCTATTTAAGAAATAAATAATAATATTTACCAAGTTTCTAACATTTGCCTTTTAGGCCCTTGGAGCACTCTCTTTATAATGACAGTATACAATTTAAAACTTATTTCAAATGACTAGAAACATTTTTAAAGGCATGAAAGCCTCCTTTAACAAGCACAAGGCACAAATTATGCTGAAGGACAGGCTGGAAAGGTGCCAAATCACCGCAAGAAAGAAAATCTCAAGTGGAGATTCCCCTACTCCCACCCCATCCCCTTCCTAAGACCTGTGGGAACACTTACTAAGAAAAACTACATCTGCACAGAATGTGAGGCTGACACTTTGTAAGGACACTTTCTCATTTTAACGAACTGAATGAGATATTTAATCACATTTCAATGAATTACATATTTTTTATTTTATAAAACAGATTTTAGATGAATTATCCACAAATGCTTACTTCACACTTCAATTTGGCACCATGATAGGTACTATTAGGTATAAAGCAGGTTTGGAACAGTAAGAAATGAAGAAATGAGAGGTAATGTAGAAAATAATAGTTTTGTTTAATTCAAAATAACACTACCAGGTCACTTTTTATTTGTTTAGCTATTATTGTCTTCTACTATGATTTTTTTTTTAGATTAGTCTCCTTGAGCCCAATAATTGCATTTTCACGTCAAAATTAAAATTTTAATGTGCCAACGATTAATGGAAAGTTTTAAAAAACTCCTAAAGAAATAAGAGCAAATCCCTTGGAACAAAAGGGCTATTGCTTATAGTGAATATTTATATTTATTCAGCATACATTTTTGGGCGTGATTCTGAGTAAGATACCGTGCGTTACAGGATTTTAAAAAATGAATTACCCAGTCTGCCTGCAAGGCACTTCTAGTCTTCTACAGTGAAATGGACAGATAGCTCATGGAAGTAACAAGCATTCTAAATTAAAAGAGTTAGGGAATTCTGAAGAGGAACGATAACTAGGGGAAAGATGGTGACACCAGAGTGGTAAGAGAACCAAGGTAGGTCTTTAAAGATGGTTAAAACTTAGACACATACAAATGGGAAGAACTGTACTCCATGCATAGAAAAGAACATGAGGAGCCTGGAGATGAAAATGGGAGAACCAAATTATAACAGCATCAACAAAAACCACTGCCACTACTAATTCTAATCCTTCTAATAGTGGCTGCTCTCAACGTACCAGGCACCAAGTGCTTCATATATACAATCTCATTCTATCCTTCCAAGAATTCAATGCAGTACACACTACAGTTGTTGAAGCTTTTTCTGACAGGAAACTATGGTTTCGGGAGATTGAGAAATTTGCCCAAACTGAATAAAGGAACTGGGATTTAAATTTAGGGGGGTCTTCCCAGGTGGCACAGTGGTTAAGATGCAAGAGACCTGGGTTTGATCCTTGGGTTGGGAAGATTCCCTGGAGTAGGAAATGGCAACCCACTCCAATATTCTTGCCTGGAAAATTCCATGGATAGAGAAGACTGGCAGGCTACAGTCCATGGGACTGCAAAGAGTCAGACACATCTGAGTGACTGGGCACACACACAGCCTGACTCTAGAATTCATGCTCTTCACCACTTTGTTATTGGGCACTGCTACTGGCTTTGTTTTGTTCAAAAAGATGTTTGTAAAAGTAGGAAGAAATTAGGTCAGAAAGGGAGGCTGAAACAAATTAACAGTCTGAAATATGAGGCTAAAAATTATGAACAAACTCAACAACAGGGAAACATGGAAGAGCAAGATTGATGATTAAAGCTGTTCTTAAAGAATATTAACCTGTAAATGGGTTGTAGAGATTAAAAGGAGAGAGAGAGATAAATAATAGTTTCTTAGTACCTTCTCACTAGGGATACACAGTCCCATTTATCCTTCAAAACAGTGTACTTCATGAGGTAGGAATGACTAACTTCTTTGTGTTTGAATTTTCTCACCTACAAATTGAGGTTAAATAATTGGCTCTAAGATGGCTAGTAAGTTCCATCTTCACAATCAGCAGTTGGGTCTGAAAATCCCATGCTTTTTCTACAACTCTGCATTAAGAAATTCATGAGTGAGTCACTATAAGATATTGACTGAATTGAGGGCCTGAATTAGGATAGAGAAGTAGAAATGGAGAAGAAGAAAGAGGTGAGAGAGATTAGAGAGTCTAAAATTATTAGACTTAGCAACTAACTAGATGTGGGAAACAAAAAGGAAAAAAAATCAAGGAAAATGCCAAGCTTTGGAGTGAAGGTATTAGAAAGATAAGGGTACTATTAACAGATCCAGTGGAAGAAACTCAGGTTTGATTGAGAATGGAGACATTTTAAACATATCAAACTTGAAGTGATGGTGAGATATGTTTAATAAGCAACTGAAGAATGCAAGAACGGTGAGCTGGAAAAACAGATGAAGTCTGCATCTGATGGGAAGGGTTTGGATGAGATTACACTGAAGGAAGTGAGCCAACAGCAAATCCTTGGTAAACACTACCTTTACAGAAAGGAAGAGGAGGCAAGGAAGACAGATGTAGAACAGACAGAAGAGGAGGGAGCAACAGAAGCTCAGGAAGGGGAGACCATCAAGACGATGTGGCTTACAATGCCTGTAAACAGGCCAAAGACAATCTGAACTGAAAAAGAAAAAAGATTAGATTTACCGACTAAGATACTTCAGAAAGTATTGAATGGTTTAAGAAGAGTGACTGAAGGCAAGATTCAGACTGCAAGAAGTTAAATAACTAGTAAAGGTAAAAGACAGAAGCAGTAAGTGAACACTTCTGCAGTTACAGGAGAGGAAAACAGGATGACAGCCTGCCAGATACAATAGGATTGAAAAATAATTATTTTTCCCCAGTAATGGGGTGGAGGAAGGAGACTTTAACACATTTACAGGTGGAACAACAAATTCAGTGAAGAAGAAACAGAAGAATCAAGAGAAAGGAAAAATAATTGGTGAAACAGAGTACCAGAAGAGTCATAGTGAGTATTCAAAAAGATGGTACCATTCTAACCTCAAACTTCATCATAATACCATGTCTATGCTGAGTCAAAGACAAAGTTCAAAAGGTGCAGTCATTCAATGATGTCCAAAACACCTGGAGACACAGGTTTTAAAACGCAGAGAAATTTCAGGTCAGTTCTATCTAAATAAGCAAACTTATTACTAAATTAAGACTGAGACTAATTGTAAGATACAAAAACACACTATTTTTTTCCACTACAAGACCCTTTCTTATTACCACTTGTCAAAAACCTGCATGTCCTTCAGGTTCCGAGGTCTAAAAGTGTTACTTCCTTTTTATTTTAGAGCATGTATCACATTCTACCTTGTATTTTACTTATTGACTTTTACTTGCTTTTACCGTCTTGAAACCAGACACGTGCTTATTGTCTTTATAAAATGCCCTAAAATATTTAAACATAATACTTTGGAGCGAAAAAAGCAATAAATATTTGTTAGATTATGAGGGGTGTGTGTGTGTGTGTGTGTGTGTGTGTGTGTG